GTTTTTGCAAGGAAGATGAGCAATAGCGAACTTCAGCAATCAAACAGCATCATACACATGAGACCAGATAGTTGTGACCTCGAACCAAAAGCAGAATTGCATCACGAGTTTCACCAAATAAGAGCACACCAAGAGCTCGTAATTGACAATGCTGGAATAGTCTCATCATCATCATCAACGAAGAACCAATGTTGATATTCTATCTGGCGCTCGGCGCCCAGACTAGGAATGGCAGATCCTATCTAGCCTAGACTACAATGCCGCTGATGACGTCAACAGCTTCCCGAAGTACGAGCAGATCTCGGCCAATGCCGCACGCTTCAAGCACTGGGTATGTCTCTCGTATCACTCACAACCTCGTTCCCCAAGGACCACCATGCGCCCCATCCAGCATACAGCAGCGCAGCTTGGCTATGGCTGCCTGCTCCTTCCAGCTCGCCCGTGAGAGCGTGAGCCTGGCAGGCGATAGCGCAGCAGCGCTTGCGCACAAAGCAGCCAGTGCCCGAATATCCAATGCGTGGGCAGGCCCTTCCCTATATCGAAGTGGCCTGCTGCTGCGTGCTGTGCTGCGGCCCAGGGCCTGCCTAAGTTACATGCAATGAAGGCAGCCTGGGCCCGGGGTGCTTCCAACCAACTGGCGCTGCGCAACTGCCTGAATTTCCCCAGTTGCGTGGTGACCCTGAAATGGCCTGTAGGCCTCGGTCGTGCTTAGGGCGACCGACTGTGTGAAAAGTGGGCCCTGAAGGGCATATCGAGGCCCTAAGCCTCACATTTTTTTGTAAGTATCAGGCCGAGTAGGCCAGCCTCGTACACCCATACCAGGACTCTAGGAACAGTGTAGGCAGGTCTTTGAGAGTATTTAAGTTGATATGGACATAGTAGGAAGCCTCAATCTGAGTGGTGTATTGAGTGGAAGGGTTGAGTTCCGTAACTACAAATTACGGGTGAGTTCCGTAACTACGAGTTATGGAAGTGTGGAGGGGAAGATGTTGTATGCCACGATATTAATGCTCAAGGCATCTTCTTCTATACTTTGGTTCCCAATTTATGTAATCATTCTCATGAGCACACATATACACAAAGAGAGAAGTCCGCAACGTCACTAACATGCATTGTAGGCATGTGGTGCCCTAATTCATTCATCAAGAATTCTAGTACTGAATTTCGGTTTACAAATTTGGTGTACTTATTGCGTTCTTTCAACTTCTTTGATCCCCTTTGGCAATGAATGTGAAATGCATTTGTTCATTTTATTGCAGGTTTCTATGTGCTGTCAGGTCTTCTCGAGTCAGAAAGCAGAGCAGGGAAGTTGAAGTTTAACATTCGTGGAACGACTGAGGAGACACTTTGTGTTCACACCGACGCGTGTCCGAGGTACTGTTTATACTTGAGAGCAAAGTTTCTGCAAACGGCTGCAGAATTTCAGCCTAAGGAGTCTTGAGTTTTTTTCTGCTGTGTCTTGCTGCTCATTTCGGAATATGGTCTGAGAAATCCGTGTCCGTCCAAGTGTTGCGCATGCTCATGACCGTGCGTGTAGTTCTAGGAAGGTTTGGGTTCTTTAGGGGTGTTTTACTAACCCTCATTGTTGCCGTGTGTCGACATGAGTCTCAGCCCGAGTGTCACACCTGTGAACTTTCAGTGTCAAGACAGAAATTTGATCTGGCAGTCAGTGGCAGATAAAAAGATAGGTTTTGGGTGGTCAGAGTCACACCTTGGGCTGTGAAGGGATATACCAGTAAGTTGATGGGGGGATGGTAGGGATTTTCAAGTAAGCCTGTGCTATGACTGAACTGGTAGGCCCTGGTTCAATATCCTGACTGATACAGGATGTATCAACACAGGATATTGGTAGTATACGTCCGGACCTGTGTGGATTTGGGCACTGAGGTGAGGAGATTCATTCTCCAGCCACTTTGCAGCAGCAATAACCCTAGGAAGGCCTGGTACGAGGACTGGTAGGTGGGGAAGCTAACTGGAGTACAGCGACATAAACATAGGAGGATGCCTGGAGCCCCCAAGTTCTGCTGTTATGCTGCCTGACTCTGGCGGGTTCTGGTACTTAACTGAGGTGAGTAGATATCATTCTCGAGCCACTTTGCAGCAGCAATAACCCTAGGAAGGCTTGGTACCAGGCCTGGTAGTTGGGGAAGCTACTTGGACTCTAGCGACATAAAAAAAAGACGCCGCTTGGAGCCCCCAAGTACAATAGTCGGCCGCATGATCCTGCTGTTATCCTGCCTGACTCTGGCGGTGCTGGTACTTAACTGGGGGGCTCCTGATTGTGGCAGATGACGTCCCTTGATATGATGTGTGGCGTTTGGCCATAGATGTGCCCAGGAGTCTAGGCGCTGCACTTCTTCAAGCTCTGCTGTAGATATCTGCTCATAATAGGGGAAAGATTGCTCATCAAGACTCATCCTGGGACATTGGGAGAGCACTGGGGCACGGAAGAGAGGTTCTTGTGAGAGATCCTCACTTAGCCTTCCTCAGTTAGTTCATCACTGTGGGTAGCGCTTCTTTTGTGTTTGTTTTTTTTTTGTTTTTTTTAGGGAAAAAAAATAAAGCTGTCTTGTCGTCATATGGGGGATGTTTTTTTTTTTTTTTTTTTCCTACCCTATTTTCTTCTCTCTTCTTACCTCACACTAGCTACCCATTTCTATGTCCTACCCACAAGCCCCACAAGGAAGATAATGGATCACCTCTATTCAGGAAGAGCAGCTACTGCCCCAGACAAGCAAGGGGTAGAAGAACCTATTTGCACATCAAGGGAACCCGGATCTAAGACTAGAGTTTACAGCTAGGATCTAGGGCTAGGGTCTAAGGCCACCTTAAATTTACTAACCGGAAGTAAGCTATCCTAAGGTTATGGGTCTACATCTACCTATCTCTGCTCTGTGCGCGGAGCAGTACCCAAGCTCCTAACACTGGCATGGGCTGGAAAGAATCACTTCCACAACCAGCCAGAGGCCCAAGCCAACAATCTCCGCTGGTGAACCCGAAGCATCCCCCAGGAGGCCGTGGGGATCGAAAGGATGATGTGGGGTATCGAACCCACGACCTCATGCGCTTCTTCTTATCAGGTCAAGCTGACTTCTCGTTTTGCTCCGCCTCTTTTATTTGTTGAAGGGATTGCCCCTAAGATTTTTGTGTCAGATTCGAACACTGGATCTGTTTACTAAAAGCTACTTGTATATAGTACTGCATACCATTCAGCCACTGGGCAGAATAGGTCGAGCTGCGATCTTGGCTCAAGATTACAGTCGTTTTAGAATGGCGCTGTACTTATGGCGTGGTGGAATCAGTGGAGGGCAGGAGGATGATGAGCAGGGAGTGATATGCTTTGCTCTTTTGTCAGTATCTATCTTGTCAGGATAGTGTACACAAGCACATTCTTTCAATTCCTTATTCAGTTGTATTACCAACTGGCCTTGCTCAGTTAGTACACCCTGGAACTGTTGAAATACAGACCTGAGTTCTAACTCCACTCAAAGCAGATGAGCAAAATAGTACGACTCTGAAAAAAAAAGATTCTCTTTTTCTTTCATTCTTTGATCACACAGGAAGCGATTGGTTGAATTGAGGAGGGAAAATAAATGAATGAAATTCAATGAATGAATGAGCACTTCAATGAAATGTACACATCGCGCCTCGCATTATGTCTCACAGATCACAGAATGTGTTCCCATAGTGGGCAACCACACGAGCATTACCCTTCTCATCCATCTGCTCAGGAGGCAAAAGGAAGAAGAGTAAAGACTCAAAGAATATGCGCATCATTCTTTCTTTCTTCATGTTAGCTGTTTGTCAAGAGCTGAGCTAGAAAAAAAGCAGCATTGCATTGCGCCTTCCGACTTGCCATTGGTTGACTGGGATTATTTTTTACTAAATTTTTAGTTTTTAGTGTGTGGATCATAAAGTAAAATGAACTATTATGAAGTTATAAACTAGTGGAAGCGTTTTCTTTTATTGGCTTAATTTTTCTGATACCTTGTGCAGGAATTTTTTTTTTCCTGATACCTTGTCCAGGGAAAACTATGTTAGTCTCTTAGATGCATAATATGCACCTCAAACATGATCAATTGTCCTTAGCGACATGCCATCAAATTGGAGCGATACATGGAAGATTAGCAATGGCTATGCACGGATGAGACAAAAAAGGGGAAGAACAGAAAGGTCAATCAGATAGTTCAAAACTGTCGAACACGATAGTGCCAGGTGTTCAACAACAGTTCTGGTGATCATCCCAATTATTTTTCCCTTTTGCTCTTTAAGGGCTACATTATTCTAGTCACATCTGATTCCATCAGGATTCCAACTCATTATCTGTTCATCATGGAGAACTTATGATCTGTTCATCAACAGTTACTTGTGTGTACCATGCAGCCACATGGGCGGGGTATGTTCATCATGATTCGAGTTTACATGCTAAACAGAAAGACAAAAGAAGTTCAAAGAACCTTCAAGAAAAGATATTGCCTCATTCCATCGTGAGGAAAATATGTGTGAGAGTTTTATGAACGTTTATCAGGTACTACTAGTTTTTTTTTTTTTTTTTGAATCAGGTACTCCTACTACCAGCGAACGTACAGGAAGGATGATGCGAAAAGGAAAAGGAAACGCTACAGGGTGGGATGCTCATGTTTCCCACACTGTCAGTGACCGTCTTCATAGCGGGTGACACAGTGTCATAGCTGCATTCAACACCGGTGTGCTGGAAAGTTGTGACGGACACTGTTTTGGATGTGCCCTTGTCATTTGTTGTCATGTGCAGGCTGTCTGCTCTCTGGAAACGAGTATGGAAAGAGGTTTGTAAACAGAGCAAGATGGACGGTGAGGTTCATGAAGGTGGTTGGCGAGCAGAGCACCAGGTTCGTCATGCGGCTTGAGAACTTCTGGACATATTGAACACCTGCTCACTTTCCGGCCCCCGAAGCTTTGGGATCTGTTGCTGAACCTCTGGATTGTGTGTGATATGTGGCCGTGGTTGACTCTTGAGAAATCTTTCACTTTTGGACTTTTGTACCCCTGTAGGCCGGACTGTTGACTTGCATAGGGCCTACTTTGACTTGTAGAGGTCCTGGGTACGTCGTTTTGCCGTTGACACCAGGCCTATCGACCTGAGGACTTGCGTAGGGCCTTCTCCAAAAACTACGACCCTAAAATTTGTTCTGTGCTGATGTGACCTCGGTTTCTTGTGCAATGCTTTAGAGAAGCTAGACATCCTTCCATTTTGTTGGCTAACATCGAATGCAAGAGCCCTGATGCTCATTGTGATTTGGATTCGTGGCACTGTGAACATTGTATGCAGAGGGAGAAGCGCATCATGGCAGATTTTTTGGGCATCTCGTCATCTGGAAGCTTTCCATGGATGATGGTGAGTCGAAGTCTCCATAATTGTGCACAGCAAAGACTTTTTTTTTTTTTTTAAACAGCTGTATTTTTTGCTATCCTTTTTTCTTGTCATTGGCTGTTGTATTACTGGGTGATTAGTGGTTGATGTTAATGGATTCCTGGGTCATTTGGACTTAGGTCGTGTCATATGTTCTGTCTTGTTGGCTGTGGGGTTTCTGGAGCGGTGGTTGGTGAGCTTGTCGAGTTGTTGATGGGTCCTTGGATGTGATAGGATGTCATGATTAACCAATCCTTCATTAGCGTTTATTGTAAATGTCTAAGAGTACTTACTGGGGTATGGGGGGGCTGGTGTTGTCCGTTTATCCTCTTCTAGGGCTGTGGACTGGAACTACCTCTTTATCCTGACCTCAACAACATGCCTGTGAGATGGGTCCTACTTCTGGGTGTTTCTAATTCTTGTGCTGGGGCTGAGTGGTTGTGCCTCCATTGTGCAAAGTGAAGTCTGTCCTGGTCTATTCTTGCTATCTTTCCTTGTCCTAGCTGGTGTTTTCACGACTCTTCTACTATTCTGTCCCTGTTTGCCATGTTGTCTGCCATCTTTCTGTGGGTTCTCTTCCAGCGGCCTCTATATTCGATTTCCACTAAGCACAGCGCTCCCTCCCAGGCTTCTTGGGCCACCATGGGGGTGTGGTCGATTGTTTCTTGGCACCTGCATTTCCAGATCATCCATAAGGTTGTGAGTCTTACTCTGTGGAAGAATATGGACTCGAATCCTTGCCATGTGCTGGGCGTGTGTAGACCTAGTAGGAGTGTGACCTGATCCGTTGGGAGAGCTTTGTTAGTTATTGAGTTCCATAGCTGGGATGTCTTAGCCTAGAGTTGCTTGGCTTTCAGGCAAAGTAATAGGCAGTGTTCTATATCTTCTGTAAGGCCATCTGGACAGATAGAGCAGAGTTCCTGTAGGGCGGATCTCGACTGCCCGCTCCCTTTATTCAGGCATTTGCTCATTGGGAGGGTTCGGTGAGCTAATAGCCATTGGAAGCTTCTTATCTTAACTGAAGTGATGGCAAGTATTCTATTCCAGGAGGTGAGGAGAGTTTGGTTTGGTGGCTGGTTGAGGTGGGTTTCCCATCTCTGGTTAACGATTTGGGCTACTGGGAAGGATCTCATCCTCAGTGAGTATCCCAATCTGGTGGAGTACTCCAGGATGTTAGTACGTTTTTCGATCTGTAGTCTGCCTGATTCCATTTTCCATGCCCATTCTGCTGGGTCGATTTCCAGGTCCTCTATGTTCAGGTGTGGTTCGAAGATGCGACGCTCCTCCATTTCTACTACTCTTACTTTCCTTATTGTAGGCTCTGGTAAGGCAATTGCTCCTGAAGGATTACGGCTTAACAGGCTAGTGGTCATTCCTGGTTCTTCGATTGTGTACATGTCACAGATTAGCCAAGAATTCCTTGGTCCTTCCCTCGTGCGAAACCGGTATGCTGTGGTGGGGATGTTGTCTGACGTTCTTGTTGCCCAGTCGCCTGGGTTCCACTTGTTGGTTCCTCTCAGCAACTGAAGCCAGTTGCTCGGGACTGTGCTCAGAATATTGTTTAAGTTCTCCTGCAGATTGTGACAACCGTTCAAACATTCCCTCATTCCCCAGCCGTTCTCCATCTCTTGTCGGCATCCTGCCACAGATGCTTGATTTGCCACATTCCTTTTTCCACCCATGTGCCCCATTTAGTGTCCTTTGCAGTTAAGGTCCAGGGTTTCCCCTGCGAGTCTACTATAGATTGGTTGCCTGAGGACTTCTTCCTTGGTAGTTGGTTCTCTCACTTCAGCAAGAAGGATTTCCTTCCATGATTTCATTAGCTCTCTCCAAAAATCGTGCTCCTGTTCCTCTTCTAGGTCTTCTTGCTCCCTTGTCTGTGAGTTGCCTTTCATTGCCCAGGATTTGGCCATGAGCCAGAAGAGTCCGCTCAAGTTATCTGGGGTTTTGAATCTGGCTAGTTGTTGTATCCTACGTAGCCCCAATTTATTCCAAGGTAGCTTGTTATTGGTTATCATTTTGATGATCCACTTCGTCTGCAGTGCTTTGATTTGCGTATCCGGGTCCAGGATTCCAAGACCTCCCTGAGATTTCTTCAGGATGACGTATTTCCATGCTACCTTTGAGATGAAGTTGATTTTGGAGGGATCCCCTGACCACAGGTAGGCTGCTGCTCTTCTTCTTGGTTGGGTTCTCCGTTTCTTGGGTGGGCTCCAGATTGTGGCTGCGTACCACATCATTGAGAAAATGGATGCATTGAGAATGAGCGCTTTTCCGAATATTGAGGTGTAGATACTGGACCAGCTGCCCAATTTGGCTATCATCTTATTCATTATAGGTGTTGCATTAGTTGGTTGGTGTCGTGCTTGGAGACTTGGACTCCTAAGAATCTGAGTGGTCCATTGCCTCGAGACCAGCTCATTCCCTCCGGGGTGCTTTGTGGGGGGTCAGTTTGCAGGTCTGTTAGCCACCATCCAATTGTTTGGGCCAGTTAATTTTCATCTCTGATGCTATTTGGAAGGCTTGCATTGCTCGGGTAAGTGCTTGAAATGAAGAGTCTGATGCCCGTATTAGAACTGTGAGGTCATCTGCAAATAGGATGGTGGTGGGAAGGCTAATTGGATGTTGTCTATCCTCTACCAATCTTTCAATCGAAGGGTCTTTCCTTAGAAAGGATGCTATGACCTCCATGATGAAAAGAAAGACTGGGGCCGCCAGTGGATCGCCTTGTCTTACTGAACGGGTCATTTGATATGACTGTGATAGATGGCCGTTGACCTGAACTCTTCCATGAGCTTCTGCGTATAGGACTTGGACCCATTTTCTGAAGTTTTGACCCACCCCCGTTTTCTCCATGCATTGACTTAAGAAGTTCCACTTGACTTGGTCGTATGCTTTTTCGAAAAAAACAAACAAACAGTATGATGGTGTTCATTCTTTTATCCTGGAGGTATCAGACTGATTCGTTGAGGGTCATTACATTATCCAGGATAAACCTTCCTAGGATGAAGCCGGTCTGGTCGAGGTGAAAACAGTTCCTTGTTATCGTTCTTATTCTATTCGCCAGGAGTTTCGCCACAATTTTGTAGGTTACTGAGAGCAAGGAGATTAGACAATAGTTTCTGATATTTGTTGGGTCACTGTTGCATACTGTAACGTGCAGACCAGAACACGAACCGACCTCTCAATACAAAGCACAAGATAGCACAGCGGAAGACTTAGATACGAATGATCCGAACAATCACTATTGCAATGCAGCCCTGAACACACATCATCATCATCGTTATCTGGTGTGAAGGGGGTCTGGCGCTTCACACAAGAAGACTGCGCCAGCCCCAACCATACACAGACGAAGAAGGAGGGGTTARACGAAASAGGAGGGGAAGATGGGAATGTCGTCAACACCAAGTCTCGGTACAGGCCCAAATAGTCCCTCGTCGAAATGTCTGAATCCCAATGTCCAGTCTGGATCCAATGTCGTCAAGTCTCAAGTCACAACTCTTTCTCTCTCTGTCGTAGTCTGAGAAGTCAGGTGGCGAGATGGTGAGAAGAGATGGTGGACTTAGAAGAGGAAGAAGAAGAACTCTCTCTCTCTCTGTGTCCAGTACTAACCTGTGAAGTTGGCGCCTTGATGCA